TCACTATGCTACCAAGCTGTTCCGACAAACGGCCCCTTTCAGCGTAACTAAACATAATAGTACATACTGCTTGAGTGCATGCAGATAATTCTCAAGATAGTACTGCCAGGGTAACGAGGCCTTTAACCGTCCAGCTATGATGATCTGGAAATAAACTTTTGAGACCCTTCTAAACCATAAGTACAGAATTCTCTTCCTTGTTTTTGTTGAAAAGCCAGCCACGAGGCCTTAACGTCAACCAGAGGAAAGTATGGTTCTTATTGCTTTTTATTGGAGAGCAACAGGCGAATATGAAGGGACTGAACCTGATTAAGAGATGAAAATACATAGCTATCATGGACAGGACTCATTGTGGAGTTTAGCAATTTCCTCTGGAACAAGATGGGTACTGGCTCAGCAGTGCTTTATGATCTATGGAGTCTATTAGCTAAAAAGTTAACATGGGTCATCTGGAATATTGAAACCTGAATTAAATCCTTCAAATGATCTTCAAGAGGACACACCACTCCTACCAGACTTTTATAAGGAGCTGTAAGGCTATAGGGGCTTGTTTCAATGAAGCAACATCTTGAAGTCATACAGGACTTTTAAGCTTTGGTCCACACTTTCTGAAGAGGTGATGTTCCTAACAGGACAGGGTCATAAGTCACACAGCCATAAACCTTAGCCAGATGATACAAAGTCAGTGTTACCTTGTCATTACCTGGACATGTATCCAGCAACATTATACACAAGTTGAGCGGCAAGGAGAAAGAGGTCTAGTTTAACTGTCTAGATAAGCAAAAAAAGTGAGTCTTGTAACAGATAAACAACAGTGAGGAACATGGAGACACTTAGAATCAACTACAAGGCCTTACACAGCTAGCAACAAGGAATTCTGGTTATCCCTACAGAATGGAGACTGTATCCAGGAAGGCGGGGAATCTGAAGGATATTATAGAGATACAGAAGACAAAGAGCTCCACATGATCTCCCAGTGTCATGCTGTGGAAAGGTTTATGACGACCCCTTGGATATATCGTTACTGAGTAGAAACAGTGAGGTGAGTTCACCTCCACACAACAGAGGAAATAACTTGCACTACTGTACACAGTTCTCATGTCCACTTGTTTAAAAAAAAATGGAAAGTTGAAAGATCGCATGGGATACAAAGAAGTACGACAAAAAATGTTTAGAAGACTGTAAAAAGTACCTTGCAGTGATCCTTAAGGAACTAAAGCCTATTTAAGTTTATCAAAAAAAGATCAAGTGACTTGTTTATGGTGTTAAGTACAGGCAGTCCCCGGGTTACGTACAAGATAGGGACTGTAGGCTTGTTCTTAAGTTGAATCTGTATGTAAGTCGGAACTGGCATCAGCCGCTGCTGAAACTGATCAGTTTCAACAGCCG